TAAAGTCATAATTTTACGAGAAAAAGTCATAATTTTATGAGATTAAAGTCATAATTTTACGAGAAAAAGTCATATTCATGACGTGTCTATTTCCCGTTCCTCATTTCCTCCATATTTTCCTCACACCTGCTGTGTGCCGTGTGTGTGTGTTTATAAAGTAGTCCATGATGACCTGGGTCACTGTTAGATTAATATGATTTACGTGACGACTAAATCCATCAATGCATCCATTAATTACAATACAGCTTCAGTTTATAGTCGTTTGCACAATTTCCAAGTCTTGCTACTGATAATTTGATACTAATGTGCTTACTACTTTAAACTCGTAATATTACGACTTTAATCTCATAATATTACGACTTTAATCTCATAATATTATGACTTTAATCTCGTAATGTTATGACTTTATTTTCGTAACTTGTAGTTGCATTTTCTTTTTTTTAACATCTTATTGCAGCGTACATTTCATCAGCTAAGTTGCTCAACTTAATTTTAAAAACAAATTCCTTGGTCTGTGGCGAATTTCCAAAACTGCGCCGACACGTTAAAAAATAAAAAATTCACCGTCTTTGTTTCGTTTTTGCTGCCTGCRCATTGAATTCTGGGATATCCTCAGCCGGTGAGGATACACTGATCCATCTCGGATTTCCAGAGTTTGTCGGCCGCATGATTAGTCTTCGAATTGGGACGGTCCTCCACGCGGGGCAGTGACGTACGCGGCCGACAAATGTGCACTCATGAGGACCCAGCCCCTGAATTGAGACACAGCCACTGAGTGTTTTTAAGCCCCTCAGAGATGGGGTCGTCACTGAACTGCTTGTCTGGAATTCTGAGGTGAAATATAGAAAAGAAGAAGCTAAAACCTCTTCAGGCTCTGCCGTCTAATTGTAAACTTTGAGTTGAAACTCGTCACATGCTGGATTATTCATCGTTCTGTTTCACACGTGTGCAACATATTCTGGGCTGGTGTGAGTGCCAGGAACAAATGTGTTCTGCTCGGTATCAGACRGAATGACAGTCATTTTCAGACTGTTAAATCATCTGCCTGAAGGTTTCCAAATCCTCGTCTAATAAACCTTTAATTCAATAATCTGTTTACAGCCGTTTAATCTTCATCTGAACATTAGGATGTTCAAAGGGAGCCAGAAGTCAGGGGGTTCTGATCCCGGCCCACAGGTTCTGTCAGGGAGTTCAGATCTGCTCCAACATTTAACCCTTGAACCACGCTTCACCTTTTCTTTAAAAAATCCACCTGTTTTCTCAAATCTTGTTGTTAGACACTTTAAAGCACCTTCAGATAAAATACAAAAATCAAAAAGCTGCAGCAGTTTCCTCCAGGCTATTCCTGAGAGAAAACCTGCACTGATGCAACAAACGAAAGTTGTGATTCTGGAGGGAGAGGAAGGCGTCAAACAAAGAGGAACAGATGGTGGAGGCCGAGCAGAGCCAGTGACTCAGCAGAAATGACTGGACACAGCTTTAACTGTGCTTCTGACAAACACACAACACAAACTAAAGCAGATTCCTCCAACATTTCAATCTGCATGAGCTTCCACACAGTGGTGGGCAGCGCTAATCCAAAAATTAGCTCCRCAACTTCTATAGCGCTTGTGTAAATATTTAGGTACGCATCTTCAAAAAYGCTTAAGCCATAGAAAACTAGTGGAAGCTAAATTTAAAGCACAAGTTCAATTTGACACTTAGCTGGCAACAATTCATGTACAATATAAGTACAACTCTGCCAAGTAGTGGTGTATGAACCCCTTTACAGCATATTCATACAACCGTCGATTGCTGGGGATGTCATTTCCTGAAACAGACCTTTGGCTCCTGGTGTAAAAATTAAAAAGTTGTTGAGGATTGTTAGTTCGGCTGCTTCTTTAAAAAGTTGTTGAGGATTGTTAGTTCGGCTGCTTCTTTGTCTTTTTCTTTTGTTTGTTGTAGATTTTTCATTAAAGAAGCATCAATAAAGTAATTTTAAAAC